GAGCATGCACTCGTCAAGCGCCCCGAGACGTACTCTTTGGAGGACTCCAGGGAACAGCTGATGGCGAGGCTGAATGACGTTACAGTATTTGCGGAACAGGAATCGAAGAGAGCAGATTGCTTGCTTCGCGAAAAAGAAGAGATCGTCAAACAGTATGAGTCCGACGTGTCGATGAAGGACCAGATGATTGCTGTCGAAGGTGGTCATCGTCAGGATGCGATCTTGGAGTTAGCCCAGGTCAAAGAAGAGAAACAAGAGGAACGGTGCACGATGGACGAGAAGTCGAAGGAGGCTGAGTACTGGAGATTGACAGCTAAGGGAATGTACGATGAGTACCTCGAGGAGATGCATGAGCTTCAGAGACAACTGAAAGAAAGAGAGGCGACGCTCAAGCAAGAAGAGAGTTTTGTACGCCAACTCGATGCTGACAACGAGGAACTACGTGCACACAAGAAGCTGGAGACACAGGAAGCCTCCAGCAGCAAAGATGGACATCGTGAACGAGCAGTAGTGAAACGCGCTGAGGGAGGAACCCAGGCTAATTCAAATAGGATAGACAAGAAGGTGGCTGGGTCAGTCCCGTCATCGTCTTCAAATCAAATCCCTAATTCGTCGCTGATGCCAGGTTCGATCCTCTTTCCGTCTTTCGGTGATCCAATGATCGATGTACACCTATCCCAGATGCAAGGGGTTGTTGGGCATGTCCCACAATCCACTACTACGACTGGTGGTGGTGATGGGGGGGGAAACAACGGTACTACGCCCCCATTGGATTACGGTGGATTCCCGCCCAATGGGAATGGGCAGGGAGCGGGTCGACGTCAGTTGAGCCTCGCTGGTGGCGGAGGAGGACCTCCGGATGATCCACCCGATGATGAGGATGAGGATGACGACGACGAAGGAGATGAGGAAGACGAGGAAGAAGAAGAGGAAGAAGACGATCGGACACGGAGGAGACGAAGGAGATCGAGAGATAACCGAGAGATCAAGAATGATCGACCGAGAATCTCGAGGAAAGAGGCCGAGAGAGTATCTATTCCGGCCTGGCCAAAGATCCATCAACTTGACACCTGGAAGATGCAACTGCTGATGAATGTTCTGAGCGCATGTGCAGATCCAGATACCGACGCATGGACGAAATGGCTGGAGCAGGCTCTTGGGTTGAACCCAGACCTGGATTTGCTTAGCGATTCAGGTGGCGACAGATTTGCTACGATAGATATTAAGATGGCCATGGGCATGCAGAACATGCTGAAACAAGCACCTGACGAAGCCAAGGACGTATACCTCGATGCTACACGACACTCTGAACTACGACATCAACAAGGGGTGATCGTGAAGGGACGAGAGTTGGTGGCATTAGTTATGCAATCATTCAGAACTTCCGATAGAACGGATCTTGTCTACCACATCGAGCATTTATTCAACCTTGACTTTCCTGGCGACAAGAACTTGGTCATGTTCAGGAACAAATGGTATGATTTGCTGCTGAAGATGAGGAGCGAGGACAGACCCAGTAAGCTGGCTCTCAGAGACATCCTTTACAGGAAGATCAAAGGGAGCAAGAAGATGGAGTTCGGCCTCAATGCCTACCATAGACTACCGGACAAGCATCCTCAGAAGACGTATGAATTCTTATTGGCGTTGATCGACTATCAGATCAAGGCAGATCGGGAAGACCTGATGCTCGACATGAAG